GGTTTGACCCACCTAAAATGCCAAGAAGCTAAAGGCTGAGACATACTTTTTTTCTTGCTTATTTTAAACTACGAATATTGCGCATTTTGATTCTTAAAAATAATAGTACGAATGCTTAAACTGTAATACACTTTAGCCAGCATCTGCAGCTTCTCAATGAGAAAATATGAAATGTGGAATGGTATAGATCTCACGCCCCAATCAACATTTTTAGGTTATTTAAGAGGCAGTCTACAGGTCATGTATATATATCCTTTTCAAAATTTTCTGAAAGATAAGATTAAACGGAGCGTTTTCTGACTATTTTTGGCAAAGCACAAAATTCCTTTGTTTGCAACCAGAGAACTGAAAGGGCTGGATGTAATTTCCCCATGCTTCGATGGGCATACCACTTTTATCATTAGATTATACAGCACCCTGCCAGGCGAGACTCTCGAGGTGAATCGCTGGGTCTAAAAACGCAATTTGTCTTGTTTTAATAGGCCCCAATGAACCCATAAAAGCAAAACTGCGCCCATTAAAGTCATTCACAAATTGCCTTTAAATATGAAACATGCTTGGCCGGACTTCAAAAGTGTGCGTGTCAAGAAATATGAAAAAAAAAAAAAATGAAAGTGTGATGTTGATGCATTGCTGACATTTATTAGTTCTGATTTTGTTTTTGTTTGGTTTTTTGTTTGTTTTTCTTTGTTTTTTTGGAGGGGGAGGCGACATGACTTCGCATTTTCCAAACTTTGGGTAACTGAAAGATCAAATCATCCACAAAAGGCACTGGGAGGGTTATATCTATATAGGGAACTCGGTCAACGTCTGATGACTGATCTCTTGAGTCCCATATTTGCCCTGAGCTCTTTTCCAGAAGACACACCCCTGCTAGACTCACACATTTTCGAAAACCCCGCAATCAGTCTAATTACTATTTATATAAAGCATCAATGATCAACTCTTATGAAATCTACGATAGCCCTCTCCCCTACTCACAAATTTACATAAACGTTTTGATTAAAAACGTGACAAGTTGTGGGATGGATTTACAGGTCCGACTAAAGTTTAGACAAGCACAGACGTTATCTTGCCAGTATGTTAGTGTTTTAGCGCCTACAAATGGCTGCTTGCACTATATGCTTCCAATAAAGTTGAGGTTGTTGCAGAAAGCTCTCAAGTCTGCTGGGGTAATAGTACAGATTGTGAAGCACATTGAGTTTGCTGTTGAGCGGTGATTTGCGCTATACAATTGTTTGCTATTATCATTTATCTCCCAGTTTTCACGATGTCATCCCATCACATAATTCTGTAACTTTTTGCGGTGACGAGTTAGCACCAGAATATTTCAGACACCATAATTTCTATGTTACTCTATAGGGAGTATTTAAATCTGGATATGTAAGAAAAGCAGAGTTACAAAAAGTTCAAGGTGAAGGGAACAAAGTAAAAACTAGAAAACTGTCGAGCGAGTAAGTAATCCTACTAAAAGTAACCCGAGTAGCCAAACACTGTACATGACTCATTATGAAATGACTGAAATTTCATCACCCCCCCCCCCCTCCCTCTCCTGGAAAAAAAGTGCGAGATAAGTTTTCAATCTCAATAATGTAAGAAAGTAAAAGGGCAGAGTTCATTTCAAACGCAAAACAAAGACAAAGAGCCCGGTTTTCCCCCAGGCCATCACACATATTTCTAAAGAGTGTTTAATGGGCAGAGCCTTGGGCACAGCCTCAGGAAAAAAAATAGAGACAGAAATTCAACAAAGACACAGCGTTGTTCTTGTTGTATCTGAAGTATAATGTCCCAATATACACAATGTAAGTCATCACAAAGGCAGAGCACTAGGCTCCTCATCGGGGCATAGACTAGCAGAGAAGAAATAAATGATTCAGAAGGGGCCAGAAAAACAAGAACGCCTCGAACCTCAAACGGTTTTGTGCGGCCAAGTAAGATCAAGATTCTACTGAGCTACAGTTTGTGCGCGACATCGGACTGGCTGTCTAGCTGCTGTCACAGAGAACGAGGAAGAAGATAAAGAACTTAGCTACAACGCCTGCTGCTGCACGATCTCTTGACATCACATACACACACAAAGAGACAGAGAGAGAGAGAGAGAGAGAGAGAGAGAGAGGGAGAGAGAGAGAGAGAGAGAGAGAGAGAGAGAGAGAGAGAGAGAGACAGACAGACAGACAGACAGACAGACAGACAGACAGACAGAGAGAGAGAAAGATAGAGACAGAGAGAGAGAGAAAGAAAGAGAGAGAGAGAGAGAGAGAGAGAGAGAGAGAGAGAGAGAGAGAGAGAGAGCATTAACTAAAAGAACAGTCCATAAAATAGTAATAAAACGTGATTTTGAGTGCATGCAAGCGTTTAATTTGACTGGCTAGTCCATTTAAGTTTACTATCTTACTCCCCATGGAAACATGTAATAACGCAACCTGTAGGGTATACACCACTAACATTCACACATTTCGTCTGAAATAATTGCTGAATAATCATTTGCTATGAGGCAATCGAAGAAGAATAAAAGGGGAAAAGTACTTTTTTCTGTAGAAGCAACAGCCCGTGTGACTCGGTTGAGAACTAACGAGCATAATTTTTGCTCTCCAGCCAACCTCATCGTTAGCTAGCTGAAAACGACTACATGTGCACATAAAACCTAGACGGCTGAACCGTTTTGCGGGAAGGGACTTCCGAGACACCGCGGAGTCCACGAAGCGTACATTAAACCACATCAACGTACGTCATGCCATGAGGAGAGAGCCTTCCAGCCGATCTGCAGCCCGTCACCACACACATACACACACCCACACGACACGGTGCGCTACTACAGGAACTGACCAGCACAGCCTAGCCACGCAGCCAAACAAAACCCAGGCACAACAAGAACAACAAAAACACATCCCGACCACCTCGCCGCCACAACCCACAGCTCAGACCATCACCCATGAAGGGGGAGAGGAAAAAAAGAAAGAAGTCAAGACACAATCACAGAAACCGTGAAGGCAAAGCTGCCGTCATTTTAAATGCAGTTTTTACAATTTTACAGGAGAGCCAACCCATCCCCCCCAAAAAATTTTTCTTAAAAATTAAATTAAAAAACAAAAACAAACGCAAAGCAACTAAACGTTGTTACCAATAAAATAACATTTGCTTTGAAGATAATAAGGAAGTTATCAAAATTGTATTCTCCTATAATATCGACTTGGGAAGTTTGCAATGAGTTTGTTTTCTTGGTAACAACATTCAGGTTTGTTGGGGGGGGGGGGGGGGGGGGGTTGTCCTCGCTCTCCTGTAAAATTGTAAAAAATGACAGCAGAAAAAGTAGCAATAGAATCCTGAATAAAAACAGAACCCACCCCAAAAATACAAAAGAAATTACAAAACAATTTCCTTCCCTGGTATAAAAAGAAAATGAAAAGAAAACTGCGGGTTTTAAAAAAAAGAAAATGATGAAGAAGAAGAGTGAAAAAGCTTCCCCGCCAAAGGTGCATGCATGACCTGTGTCCCAGTGCTGCCGTGCAGGCTCCAGTCCGCGACCCCGACCCCATCACCAGGAGATAGCAGGAAAAGAGAGAGATAGATACAGAGATAGAGAAAGGGAGATGGGAGAGGGAGAGAAAGAGGGGAGGGAGAGGGAGGGGAGAGAGAGGAGACAGAAAGAGGGGAGACAGAGAGAGGGGAGACAGAGAGAAAGAGAGAGAGAGAGAGGGGGGAGGAGGGAGAGAGAGAGGGGGGAGAAGGGAGGGAAAAATAGAGAGGGAAAGATAAAGATAGAGATAGATACAGAGATAGAGAGAGAGAGAGAGAGAGAGAGAGAGAGAGAGAGAGAGAGAGAGAGAGAGAGAGAGAGAGAGAGAGAGAGCGAGCCCCGTGCACCCAAAATAGCTTGTGGCGAAACAAGAGGAGCATACATACCGTGGTGGTACAAATAATGGTGGCCTGGGTAATACATTTGCTCCTCTAGAGAACAGGGCAGAGGGAGAGGGGCAGTGTGAGAGCTTCGAAGCAAGCAGTCCAGTCATACAATATACAAATAATGGTAGATCTAGGTGATCAATCTGGCGTCTACAACATCGTGGCCAATACAGAGGCCACAACACACCCTCATACTCGAACCCGCTCCTCTCTTATCTGTCGTATCCGCTTTTCTTCCATTTTGTGGGGAGGAAGTTAACAGAACCTTCATTCAGGGAAGAGTTTAACACGGTATGCTCTGGTCCCTGTCTTTTTCTTTCTCGCACAAGGGCGCACAGATTCACACATCCACTCACACACATGTATACATAGATCTACTTTACTTTTCCGATCCATCGGCTATTTGAGTTCTAGCCCTCCAGCCTAACATGAAAACAAATATGTGACACATAATACCTATGGTATATATATATATATATATAAGTACCTTCGCCACAACAGAACCAGCAACATAGCTAATCTTACACAAAGTTATATTGCTGTGCTGGACAAATGGCGACTTCTTTACAAACGCTGAAACTGACTTTACAAATAGCACTCTTAGATCTTCAGCTCAAACAGAGGAAGAGTCACTCTGGTATTTCTACTTATCAAATCATCATATTATGTGGGCTGGGCTATGAGCACACACATAGTACAAAAATCATACAGAAACTACAGCTTATGGGATTTGCTGCCAGCTTCTGGCTTCTAAACAAAAGCAATATAACACAGTACTGAGCGCTTTTAGCCGGTGCTGGGCAGATGCCATTATTTCAATACTGAGTCGATACTCCGGGCTTACCCTGGGTCTATACTTATACTGAATACTTTGCATGAAATTGGGAATAAAAAATAAATAACTGTAAACTGACAAAAAACATCACTATCCATAAACATAATAATAGTAATTATATATATATAGCAATAATTCTTTTTTAAAACAACCCAAAAACCTAGCTATAACAAATTATCTTACTACTAAAACAATAACAAATATAGGTCACAAAAAATGCAAATAAGACTAACCCCCACCCCTGAGCAAAGGACAATCTCAGAGGTTTCTTTTACAGCAAAAAATAAATCAGTAAAGTCTGGAATATAATTTCATAGCTAAAAAAATTTTTTTAAAACCCATCAAGCACGTCACACTCCACTAAGAAGCCCCTGCTACTAACTACTACTAACATCCTGAGGAGTGTTTGGTATCTACATCTGCCCAGCTCTGGCTTCTGGCTCCATACTGTGATGCAAGCACTAGCTCCACACGCTGCTTCAAAGTACATTTGGAATTTTGGTAGACTCCCAAGGTCTTTCGATGGCCAGGTTACAACATAATATTATATACTATGATACTACATACTGCAAGACCAGCATTGTGGGAGTTGCAGAGAAAAGATTCGGCGATTGAGTGGAATTGTGAACAAAATACTGGACACACTGATGACAGGGGAAAGACCAAACAAGCTGATGCAACAAGGAGAACCAATGATGAAAGTGGTGATACAATGATGACTGGTGAGTGACAGATGACATACAAAGGGCTCCTCTATAAAACCCACTATATGCCTCCTCGAAATTAAACTTAAAAGTTACCTCCTTTGCCCCCATCCTTGTTATAATATAAGCCACATCCGATTAATGCATTATCTTTGTTGCAAAATTCATTTTAAACCTTTTCCACAGAACTGGAAAGTTTTGATTACTATACTTCTCTTTTTGTGTAACAAGCACACGAACAACAAAGCACCACAATATCTTAAAGACTTTACTGAGTCATATATTACACTATCAAGACATTTGAGATCTTCAGATGTGAATCTCATGAGAATGTCCACTGACCTGACCATCAATGATTTATTTATAGAGGCAACAGCCATCCATGTCCAGGTGCTGTTTTAGCCGAGAATGTCCACTTTAAAGTCTAGCAAGTGGGGTGAAAGAGCTTTTTTTCTCCATTGTTACTAAAATTTGGAATTCTCTCCCAAAAGAAATGCTTATTATATTATTATAACATCAAAGAGAGAGAGAGAGTTTAAGAAAAATGTTAAGACACATTTGGCCATCACTATCATCTGCCTTGTGTGTGTTGTTAACTGGTCTCATAATGTGCATTTCTGTCTTTTGATTTATTAGTTGAGCAACAGCTCAGTTCTGCATTGCAGTTTGTAGAGCGTTCTAGGGATTAGGAGCTATATAAAGTCTCATTATTATTATTATTATTATCATTACATCTGCACTATTCACAGGTTTCTTTAAGTTCAAAAATTTTAGAGACATAGTGGGTCTTTAAATGGGCCAATATACAGGCAGACACAGATCCACATATGTACACATATATGGTGAACAGAAAACGAAGCAGCATGAGAAGACAGGCTCACAATATGACCCAGACAGACACTGGAACAGAACTGGAAAGCCATAACACTGAACTGGGGCACTATGAAAATAAACTCTCATTCTCCCAAGTTTTGTATTCTGATCATACCAAAACTAGTAGCTGACATTAATAATACTACTTCACCCATATCCTCATGAGGGGTGCAAAAACTTGGAAGGCTCCAGTTTCGTTCAAATGCCATGTACAGAAGTGAGAACGATCAACACACATGCATGACAACAGACTGATGAGCATAGACAAGAACCTCATTTGTGCAAAAATTTGATCCAGATCACTAACGCAGTAGCAATCAGGAGGCTCCAAAAAGTACTTTTAAAACAATAAATTAACTCTTTACGGATGAGTATTCTTTCTGGTCATTCGACATTTGCAGATACCTTGGTTTGAAGTATGACTTCTTTATTCATGCAAGTCTTTCAATTCTGTCTTCTTTATCTGAAGGCATACAACAATATGCATACTACGAAATACGCAAATTTGTGTTTCTAAATTGTATTTGATGGTTTGAAATGAGCCACAGCATCGCCTTTGGTCCGCTGCTGATTAGACATATGTGTCCACTAGAACTTTAAAGTGTTAATGAAAATCAATGGGCACTTAGGGCATACTATTGAGGTTCCAAGGCACACCTGATCACATGACTTAACACAGAGCTGAGAAATGAGAGGTTCTTTACAGTGAATCAGTACAACAAAAGTTAATTTTCACTTAATATTCAAAAATAAGAAAAGAATGGGACAGAATATAAAGTCTGGAAAAGGAGAGGGAGCAGACCACACCACAGCGGCCACCAACCATCCTCACAGAAACACACAGAGGCTCAGATCTCTCAGCACAAGGAGAAAGGACAAAGGGAACACAAGGCACTACATACAACAACCCATGTAAAGATAAATAAGAAGAAACTGAGCCAACTTGGGAACATCTGTGGAAACAGAAAAGAAAAAAAAAAATACAACCAAACAAATAAACAGAAAAAAAACAGAAAAAAACAAAAGAACCCTCACTACAATCACACCTGAGATGAAACCAAACTGAGAGAAAGCAAAGAGACCTCACCTAAGAACTGCTGTTGCTGAACTTGTGGCTGTTGTTGTTGCTGCTGCTGTTGTTGTTGCTGCTGCTGCTGCTGCTGTTGCTGCACCATGATCACCTTCTGGTCTACACCCTGCGTTTGCTGCTGCTGTTGCTGGAACTGCCTCTCTCTATTCTTGGCCGCCTGCAGATCATTGTGAAGGCTCTGGATTTGCAACTGAGGAGATGCATGTTAAACACAATGTCTGTCATTTCACCTTTAGGCCGGTCCCATGGTGGCTCTGTTGATCTGACCTGTAGCTCGCCTAGCGCGCGCCGTGCAAATTAACACATACATTACATGTGCTTGAGCAGTGTCGCTGTGTGGTCCATCTGTTATCAGCGGGGCTGCACGACGCGTCAGACGAGCTATTCAACAGTGTTGTAAAACACGTCTAGCACGCAGCCTCGCTTCGTGTTCATTTTCGACAGAAATTCTTCACAGGTCATCAAAATCAGCAAAAAGTAAGTATTAATAGGTGCTTTACTAATTAGATACTGATGCCAGCATCAACACTTGACCACAAAATCCCAAGAAATGCACTTTATCAAACATTAAAATTTCCAATCGAAAGGTTGAACTAGTTTCGACTGTTTGTTTATATTCATAGGCGTGAGTGCTTCTAGGCTAGAACCTACATCTAGATTGATAGTTTAGGAGTTGAGCTGATGCAAAGGTATGTCCCTAGAAAGGCCTAGATTCTAGATATAGACAATAATAATTTACATCTGATCCAGATCTAGATGTAGATTTAAAGCATTCACCTCAGAATCTATCTTGATCTAGACCTACACCTATCTAAATATCTGATGTGCAGTGTCCGTTGACTGATCTCGAAGCAAGGGCTTGATCTAGAAGCAAAGGTAGGTAAGGATGAAAGAATATAGTACCATATGAGGAGATTGGAATTTTGAAAGAGGAAAACAGACCAAAGAGCGAGGAGACAGGATTGAAGCAGAGAATGCCTATACAACTCTTACAAAGGGTTCCCACGGGTCTTTAGAAAAGTCCTTAATTCAAGTCCTTAGTTTTTGTCAAATCTAAATTAAGGATAAAAAGTCATTAATTTTTTACACCGGGTTGTCACGTCCTTATATAATAAAAGGTCTTTTAATTAGGCAATATTTGTCAAAATACGTCAGCCTGATACATCTACTGCTGTAAGCTGACAAAACACCTTTTAAAAAAATTTGGTGCCAACATTATTTTTACTTGCTAAACTGAAAGTCTGATCAGTAACTTTAGTTGTGTGGAAAAATCAAATTGAAACTGTAACTAGTTTTTGAATAAATTCATATTCAAATTTTGGAATCTTTCTATTTTTAAATAGTTTCGCTGACAAAAAATTTTTTTTCTCGAAACTGCAGTGAAAAAAAAAAGGCCTTTTGTCAGCTTATGGCAGTATACATGACACAATGATTTCTGCAAACTTCGCCCATATTATCTATATTACAACGAACACCATAAACTTTGCCCATTTTACCCATGTGATAGCGACCACCACAAACTTTAGTCCATCTTATGTGTGTGACAATGACTAAGATGAACTTTCCCCATTTTACCTACATTGCAGCAAAAAAAAAAAAAAAAACCCATTCTGACAGCACAGAAAACTGATCCATGTCATAAACAACAGTAGCTCATATTTAGTACACATACCATCTGCCCTCCCTCCCTCACCATTCCCCTTTTACGTCTACTGTCTTGGTTTTTAGCGTCCTTCTTGCCTCAACAACGTTCATAAAGACTTAAGGCGGGGAACATCACTGCCGTATGAGACTCTTTCTTTTTTTAAAAATGACTCTCGCTCCCTGTTCAGATCTCCCCCTTACCAGATTGGCTCTCCGCTGATCTTGCTGCTGTCCTGGCACCTGCTGCTGTTGCTGCGGCTGCGGGTTGGGCTGCTGCTGCTGGCTTGTCGGCTGCGCTTGCTGCTGCCCAGCACTGACCTGCATTGGCATCTGCCAGATGAAGAAACGCCAGGCTATAATTGTCGGCAAACCGTTTAGATGTAGTAAGTCCAAAATTATGAGACAGAAAATTTGTTTCGCATTATTTTAATCTGAGGTATTGGGAGCATGCACTCGTTAAATAATTCAAATTCTAAGTATTGAAAAAAAAGAGGAAAAAAAAAGATAAACAATGTGGACACAACTGTTACAACAACGGCCGGGAACGTTTTGTTTTTTTTCTCTCCTGAAACATTTTGCTTTCTGGACTTAAATCAATTAAACAAAACAGCTTGCTAATGAAATGTTTTAAGCTCTTAGCCATGCAGTTTACATTATTTAGGGAGTAGGCTACATCCCTGCAGAAAGTCAAACACACCTAAATAAAGCAACTTTCTCACTTGGAACTTGAACATAAAACCAGCACGAAATCTTGCTTACAGACTTTTTGAGGTTTTGTTTCTGGCGTGGCCTGCATGATCGACTCATTTCTATTTGAGGGACCTAACAAAGCTGATAAGTTTGGATGGATTTGTGCAAATCGTTGTACCGACTAAAGCTGACAATTTACCTGCTACATCTTTTGAATCCCCCCCCCCCCCCCCCCAAAAAAAAATAATTGGCTGCTCATTCCTAGGCTGCACATAACGGGTCCCTGTTACGTAAAAGCAATGGCGTGAACAAAATGCCCAGATGTTTAAAAATGGAAACAGAAGTAAATTGTTGTGTTTAACAATAAATATGATTAGGAGAAAAAAATGACCCCTCCCGGTTCAATCTACAAGGTTGCACTGTTTATAGACCTACATAGCCACATAGTCCAACCAGGAGCCTACCTGTGGCTGCATCATTCCTCCTGCACTGACTGCGGCGGCTTGCGAGGCCGCGACATTGCCTTGCATGGCTTGAGCCCCAGCAGCGGCAGCAGCGTTGGCCATGGCAGCGGGCCCTCCTTGATTCTGAAGAAGACGGAAATGTTTCTGGCTTAGTGAAACGGGTATGTGTAGCAGTCCAGTCTTACTAAACAAGGCTGACCAATGCTCTGCCCACTAGGGTTCACTCATGTCAAACCTTTCAATAATCCTCTGCCTACTCACTGTGAAAAACCAACCCCACACAAGGAGCCACTAAACACTATATACTTGCAGGCCATTTCTTGAAAAATTTGTGCAAAATTGAACCATTTTAATGCAGAGCGTTATTTTCATTACAGGGCTTCCATCCAGTGATTGCTTTCAAACAAATGTTTTTTTTTCTCTTTTGGCTCTATATCGAGTAATCACTTCATAATGAAAACTGAAGTGATGGCTAAAAAAAACCCTGAAAAAATGATCTACAAGAAACGATTGCCATCTTTTATTTCCTTCCCCTCAGACTGAAACAAAATAGTACACACAATTGTTCAGATATGGCCAGCATGTCTCAATGAGGTTACACAGAAGCAATTTTTTTAAAAACCTCTTGTCATAAATGGTCTGACAATGAACCTTAGCAGTCAGAGACTTTTCAAATTATAAATTCAATATGTCAAAAGGATTCATTTAAAACCACACAAAGTTTTTAAAAAAGTACAATCGAACCTGCCATGACAGCCACCTGTATAATACGGCCGCCTGTACAAACTGCCACTTTCCATTTTCTCCCTTGCGCTTTTTTCTATATAATTTAACTTGTGTAAAACGGTCACCTGTCCAACGTGGCCACTGCCACCTTATTTTATCAACCAACAGCCAAATTTACCTGCCTCAGGCAGCCAAGCGTGGTCACTCACTGCCCGATGCTTTGTCAAAAATTTTGAATTGGCCCCTGACGCTGTGGACGGGCTGTCATAATTCATTCACCTATCATTATTGTTAGTCCCTCCAATGAATGTTTACCCAAATTGACCAATAGGAAAGCCTAGAAATAAATTTTCAACTGCTAGTGAGAGTAGCATGATCCGTCATAACCTATAAGCTCGCCCACAACTCATGCACATATCGTGTGTGAGGCGACTTGTCACTGTTTTGTTTACCTAATCTGTAACAAAGTAACAATGGGCGTTGATATGAACTTGTGCCAGAAGTGTCGCTTGTTCTCCGAGTGGTGGCGACCTGTGTGTTTGTTTCACAATGGCACTCGGTCTTCATCGTCTTACTTAAATAATTTTTAGTCTATTTTACCATTGCACAAAATCATCAATAAAAAGAAAGTTAACCCCAAAAAACAAAAACAAACCAACAAAACAGCAACACAAAAAACCTTCCTCACACCACCAACACCCCTTTATCAAAAGAAAACAAAAACCCTTTTGAATTATCCTTGCGGCAGTCTAAAGCCAGAATTCAGCCCCTGTTTGGACCTCCGAAGAGTTTGCTTTCTTCATTTTGATCAGTCCCGCCGAAGACGGCCACCTGTTTTATACTGCCAATTTTCTCCATGACAATGGGTGGCCGTTTTACACAGGTTTGACTGTATACGCAAGGTCGATACATTTATGGTGGAGGTACAACGCAACAAGAGAAAGCCCTAAATAATCGTATCCACTATTTCATCACTGTTGAAAATATTCACGAAGAATTACCTGTTCTACAACACAGTTCTAGGGCTACAACACACTAGGAGTCGCACATCATCCCATTAAACAATATTGGACAGCATTTAATTTTGATTTATTTGTCACCCACAGAAATGCCATAGTCAATCATTAAATATGGCAAGTGTATTTCTGACTCCTGACAGAACTCGGCTGTCACCATTTCTTCTCAGTCAGAGCTATAAGATTAGATAAGATAATACTTTATTATCCCAGAGGGAAATTTTTCTTGGCAGTACAGGACCGTAAAAACACATGCAGGTATACATTAAAAACATTTTATCATATATTACTCTCATTAAAATTCTATATGAAAAGAGACCTAACGAACTGGAACTGTGTTATAACTGACATTTTGCACCCCCCCCTTCCTCCTCGCTCTCCCCTTCTCAAGCATTGCAAAAGGCAGAAAGAGCTGATTTTCTCGACCCACCTTCAAGCGGTAGTGTGCTACCACTTTCTTGATGCCATTCATGATGCCGTTCTGGTCGTTGGGGATGAGGCCGATTAGAGACTTCTTCTTGCCGCTGTACATCACCAAGATGATCTTGGTATCTGACTGAGGCGGGAAGCGAACGCAACCTGCCTGCAAGGGACAAAGCCAGAACAAATTTCACAGCACTCCCAAATGAGAAGAGTATGTGTAGCTAACAGTGAGTCAAAAAAATGTTCTAACAAACTCAATAAAGAAGGAGAGATAAGGACGACGGATGTTTGATAGGAAAGAAGGAACAAATGTGAGTCAGACTATTAAAAGTCCCAGAGTCCAACTTATGCTCACACTTGCATTATTCTTTCTTGCATTCTTTAACACAAACACAATGTGATATTCTATCAAACAAATGCTTAAGAAACCGTTCCCTCTTAAGGACCTGCTGCACTGTATCAAGCAACAGCCTCTTCATAATAAGCTTTAGAACTGGATTTTGGCATTCTAATTTTTGGTCGAGCACAAAGTGTATTTAAGATAATTCAAGATATCGATTATTTCTGATCCCTGTTCCTCCCCCAGGCAACCTTGCTTGGACCCATCAATCAAATAATGTTAATAAATGTTAAAATTAGCGATGTGTCTAAGAAACTACCTCTCCATGGTACATTGCGGATCTAACACCCCTTTCAACACTGCAGCACTATAGTACTATCGTGAGCAGGTTATCAGGGGTGTCATCTGGCAACGCAAAAAAGATCCTGAGTTTTTCGGACGCCATGGAAATGTTTGGGCAGAGATTCAAAATTTATGGATCATTTTGTCTAATAAATCCTGTATCAGGACTATTTTCTTGGCGATCAGACGGCACATTATTTTAGGAATCCAGCTTTCCCGATTTATTTGGAAAATTGGCATCTTTGAATTATAAAATAGCATTCCACCAGCTGTGGTACAAACTGACCAACCCACGCAGACCAAGGTCAAATTGTAAGGACACAAAAGTAGTAAAAACTTAAAATATGATCATGGATACGTACGAAACCATTGCTCATGAGCATGTAGAGATTGCCAAGTGCCTCATTGTTGGGACTGGTGTTGACTGGAAAATGAAACAAAACCTGGCGCGAGTTCTTGCACAGGTGCTGCACACTGGACAACATGCGCTGCGGCAAAAGCTGAATGGTCAGTTTCTGTGGCCAGTCTCCTGTGTTGCTGTTAGGAGAAAAGCAAAAAGAAATACAAAATTCGTTGGGCTGAGGTACTATATGGTTGGTTGAGTGCCCTTTTCAACACTGAAAGGTCACTTAAGGTGGACCTGAGAGAGTAATTTTAGTTTAGTAAGTAAGGTTTTACGGCGCTCGCAACTTCATAAGGCCATAAGAGCGCCAAGGGGTGATAAGGTAGGTGTTTAACAATGCTCGCAACTGCATAAGGTCATATCCAAGGGGTGGATGTCAACAGAGAAGTCTAAACGGGGAATCAGGCTTACTCTGCTCACCTCTCAAGCCTCAACTGCACAGTCTGCTTCGACTATCAAGGCACCCCGGAAATAGAAGTTCACAATAGAGCGACAAACATTCAAAAGAAGTGGAGGAAAAATGACGATAGTAAGGATGAGGAAAGAAAAAGCAGCAGTTCCTCCTATGTTTTTCCGGCACTGTATGACAGGACATTGATAAATCAGCCCATTTACAATTCTACTGCGGATAAGAACATGTTAATACCCCCCTTTGGGAATGGCTTAAAGAAACTTCAGTCAGTAGCACTGCCCTCGGGGGAGGGGGGGGGGGATGATGAGAGAGTAAGGAAAGTAAACAAGCTACGACAAATCTCACAGTTAAGGACACATGAGCACTGAAATTTCAGAAAATTCTAGTTTCCAGAAAGGTCTACAACAGCAGTAAGCCTACAGATAGCCTCACAAACTCATAAGTAAAAAAAAAAAAAAAGAAAACGGAAGAAAAAAACGGGAAATGAAAATGAAGGTCATTAGGGAAATCAGGCTCGGGGAAACCGATTATGAAAATTTAAAGGGGGAAAAAGAAAAAAGAGGGTTTGAAGTTATCAGGAGTGCAACTTACATGTCAGCATCCTGCATCTCGATGTAGACATTGCAGTTGAGTAAGAAATTGACATTTTGCTGATTCGCTGCCTGGGCATTACGGTCCTGATATTCCATGGTGCCTGGAAAGGGCAATGGGGAAACATGACACACAGAAACATTGTACACATTTGGTTTTCTCATTTGCATAAAATAATTCTAAAAAATATTCCACAAATATTTTAGGAAAACGGTTGTTTTAGGCAAGAAAGTTTAGAAAAAGAACTTTCCCGAAAACAGTCCCACCACCTATTTGACTATGCTTATCTGTGTAAGTCATAGAAAAGTAGCTAGACGTGAACGCCAACTAATATCTTTCATTCCCCACCAGTATTCTTTTGCCATTCCACCTGCGCGTTTAAAATGGATGACAAATCACTACCTCAGAATGACAAAGTTCTATCAGACATTTTTGGTCGTTTTGAGCTGTTAAGACCATGAGGTCAAAACCAAATGTTCTATCTGCTCTGCCAAACTCATAAGATTATTCAGAGTCATTATCAAGATATTCAAAGAATTGCATTCAAAAGAGCTGGACATAGTGAGAAACTCAACATTTTTTACCTCAAACTTCTCAAAACTAGATACTGAGCACATAGAACTGTAATTGTACTGTAGCGAAATGAAACCAACCTGTCCATATGACTCTTTTCTCCCTGGGTCCAGGGACCATGGGCAACTGGCCGTGCTGCTGACCCATGCCCTGTGCATCAGGCATGTATCCCTGCTGTGGTGGACACACCATGACCATAGGGGGGAGGGGAAGGGGAGAAGAAGAAAATGAAAAATGTTAGCAGACCGAATGCACATCTTATATAGAGAGATAATAAGTTTTAGGGGTGATGGGGATGGGGGAAAGGACAAAATGAAAAATGTTAGCAGACAGAATGCACATCTTATATACAGAGAGTGAGACGATAAGTTTAACAGCTCTTCCAACATAAAACGGTCATATAAGTGCTGACAATTACAAGTGTTACTGAAGAGCAGCATACAAAGAACAAAATAAGAGATACGGACGATACATATATGATAGGAAAGAAGGAGCAAACTACACTAGAGCACCTGCCAGCCACCCACCATCTTATTTATAGAGAGAGAACTAAATACAATCACTGAGTAGTAAAGTCTGAGTTTGAGTAAAGATAAGCACATTGACACAGTAACGGTAATATAGCGCAGGGGGGAAAAAAGACATCAGCAGAAACAATAGACAGAGAGACAAAAAGTAGGATCCACCAGTAGCTACCTCGAACTCCAATCATCCACTGATTAGTAAAAACAAATCCATAAATGAAACAATAAATGTAACACAGGATAATTACACAAATGTTAAAAGGCAAGAAACAAAAGGGCAAGAAACAAGAAGTAGAATAGACTTTTGTCAAGAAAAACTGAGCTTCGACACCTTAAAAACAAAAATGATAGCCAAGAGCGAAACAAAATACCAGTAGTACATGTTGAACTTAATGTCCTTTCAAGAAAACATAAAGATACACAAATGGGGACAACAGCATGAGAATCCCCAAGTCACCTGCCATAGTACTCAGTAATTTTAAGTTTTTAGTTTTTAAGTTTTAGTAGAGTTTTTAGGGCGCCTCGCAACTGCATATGGTCATACGAGCGCCAAGGGTGGATGTCAACAGAGCAGTCCATAAAGGGAATATGGCTTATTCTGCTCACCTCTCAAGCTTCAACAGCACAAACTATCAAGGCACCCCACCCTGGAAATAGCGGGTCGCAAGAGGGTGACAAACATACAAAAGAAGTAGAGGAAAAAAAGATGATAGTAAGGACTAGGAAAGAAAAAGCAGCAGTTCAGGAACAGTTAGGAGCATGACATTGATGAATCAGCCCGTTTACAATTCTACTGCTCAAAAGAACATGTTAATGTCCCCCCTTTGAGAATGGCCTAAAGACATTTCAGTCAGTAGCACCACCGCGGGGGGGGGGGGGGGTAAACTTTCAGTTTGAGCTCTATCTGTAAATTACTGAATACTGTGACCTGAGGATTTTCATCTGTTTTATGCCGGAAGCCTTTCAGCTTAAGAAAGTGTTTTTATCAGCGGTATGTCATTTCTTCAGCACTTTCTTATAATAAATGGACAGTTAGTGTTAGTGGGCTTTCTGAGAGAAAAAGAGAGGAGGAAAAAGTCAAGTGACAAAGAGATTTGAGAAAGGACACAGTTTGTTCATGTCAAGAAGTACATCAACATAGCAATAATTACTACAGGAGAAAATCAAGACAGACAGAGAGAAAGCACAGAGGGAAGACATCATCAGACAGAGACAATATGACGAAACCATTCTCAAAACCTCTACTAAAAGCACGTAAACAGCTACGTTTGGCAAAAACGAACACATCATGATGTGCTCTTTGATCCAATGTGAGAAACAGTACCCTGTGTGAGCATGAGAAAGTTGCAGCCCACTGTCTGCGGCACATTACAATCACATTTTCCACACATACGCCCTTTTCTTCCACAATGCGAAGATGCTTTGTACTGTTTTGATAACAATTATGTCTACACACTAAAAGTCTAACAGACAAATCTGCTACATAAACATCAAATTTCTGACACTGAAAAGCATACATAAGAACAAACTGAAAAAAAAAAAGCACAAAAAAACAAAAACCCCAAACCAAAAACAAACCAAACAGGGGTTAACACACAGAACAGGGAGGGATGGTGACATTGGTGTCAAGCAAATCATTCACAGATGTGATTTTCTAGCAATGTTGCAAAACATTGACAGGTTAATAAAGAGAAGATCACAACTGTGGTGGGAGGTGACTATAGAATTATGTCAGATAATCGCTCTTGATGCCTGAGAGAGGAGGAGGAAGGACGGATGGTGGGACACTTGAAACAGTGATGTATCTAGCTAGGTGTTGGGGGATGGAGGGGGGAGAGGGGGTGAGGTTGTATGTGAGGGGTAGTGTTGGGGGTAGTAAAGGGTGAGGGAGACCTTTTTCATTCAAGCGATCAATCCCAGACAGGAGAAGAGGAAGAGGCCGGGAAGCGTGGACAGAGTGAGTCGGTGCATGAGTCGTATCTGTCTGTCTGTTGACACGTGAAGACACAGAGAGAGTAGACAGCACCTGCTGCGGCGGGAACTGCTGTTGCTGTTGCGACTGCGGCGTCTGGGCAGGCTGCTGGCCCTGCTGCTGCGACATGCCCATCACCCCGGCCGACGGAGGCATCATGCCAGGAGGATTTTGCGGGCCGCTGGTTTGTATCATGGCCGGGTTTTGCGATGGCCCACCAGCCTGCATCATGGCCGGGTTTTGCGGCGGCTGGGGCCCGCCGGCCTGCATCATGCTGGGGTTTTGCGGGACTCCCGTTTGCATCATGGCCGGGTTCTGTGGCATGCCCATTGCCATCATGGCAGGGTTCTGCGGGGCTCCAGGCTGCATGTTAGCCATAGCCTGTGAGCTCAGCAAGTTAGCCTAGTAGTGAAACAAAACACGGGGGGCCCAGGTTGGGGGGAAATTATAAAACAAAGCAAAACACAACGGAATGCATGGTAAACTCCAGAAAACATGCAAGTCTAACTAGGAAAAATAAACTCAACTGGTTATAAAGGGAAAAAATTGGAGGAAAAAAACAATGTAAAAAAAAACAAGCTAACGAGGTTGAATCCAAATAGCCAAAAGGCAGTCTAATATCAAACATGACAGTACAATGCAAATCAGAACTGATAACAAATTTTAAAAACGCTACTCATTATTTTCCTGGTGCGAGCTCTTGAAGCAAGAAAGCGGAACAAATCAAAGTGGAGGCTTACAACAGGTCACCACAGTTAAAAGTCCATATATTATTATTATCACAAGAAACTTCCTTTTTTTCTTGTAGGGGGTTCATGCCCTTATCTATACAATTTAGATTAGATAAATTAGGAGGCTCTTTGAGTAAAGAGAAGCACATCAACTCCATAGTAACCATCTAGCACAGGGGAAAAAACAAGACAGATAAGAGAGGAAAAACTGAGTGAAAGAAAAGAAATAGGGCTTTCTTGTGGTGCCCTCCAAACACTCACATCAAGCTCTGACAGAGCTGTAGAGACTGGTTTTACGTTAAAATCATAAATACAAACATGAACAGTACATCAGAGAAGGTACTCTAAAATTAGGACAAAAGAGCATGTAAACTAGGGAAGATAAGAGAATTCCCTGGCTGCCCACCCCATGATTCTGCAAGCATGGACCAAAAAAACCCAACTGGCAATCATTCCTTGTTGTTATCCAATTCACAAAGAAAACCTGGCACATCACTAATTCATCATGGGGGGGGAACATACACTATGTGGGTGTTTATTTTATGTCCTATGATGATAGTATGTGGGGCCAATCAGGCCATAGCGAGAAAAAAGGATAAAATCACCTTATCAGAAATTCTCAAGACTACGCTACTGGCATACAAAACAAAGGTCTTTCCCAGGCTTCCATCCAAAACCCTAACTGGCAACGTGACATAATTATGCACAATGTAACTAAACCTGAGCCACTAGTACATACATGCTAAAACAGTCAGAACAGAGGAATCCTAGACGGGGATGAGGGCTCACACACCAGTCATGCAACACACCAACTGTACAGCTATAAAAGAATGCGTTCCATTGACGGCACACAGCATTGTCTAGTATGATCCATTCTGTTATATTTCGGTGAGGTTAATAAAAATATGAGGCACAAATTGACAAAGCTGAGAGTGCAGACGGAAAATTTCTCAAACTCAAATTTAAAAAGGCATGTCAATGACTTGAACTACAGTTGTTTGCACTGTAATCTAGCAAATTATGAGATGATGTTATAGCCTGCTCATGGAAGGGACTCCAAAGAGTGCTAAATCTGGACACCAAAAAGCAAAAGAAAATACAGGGTGATCCCAAAAAAAATCTGTGCACCTTGTTTAGTAAATATCTTCCTCCATACTGAAGTTTTGCATTTCAGATTTGTGTCATTTCTTCAGCACTTTCTTATAATAAATGGACAGTTAGTGTAAGTGGGCTTTCTGAGAGAAAAAGAGACGAGGAAAAAGTCAAGTGACAAAGAGATTTGAGAAAGGACACAGTTTGTTCAGGTCAAGAAGTACATCAACATAGCAATAATTACTACAGGAGAAAATCAAGACAGACAGAGAGAAAGCACAGAGGGAAGACATCATCAGACAGAGACAATATGACGAAACCATTCTCAAAACCTCTACTAAAAGCACGTAAACAGCTACGTTTGGCAAAAACGAACACATCATGATGTGCTCTTTGATCCAATGTGAGAAACAGTACCCTGTGTGAGCATGAGAAAGTTGCAGCCCACTGTCTGCGGCACATTACATTCACATTTTCCACACATACGCCCCTTTCTTCCACAATGCGAAGATGCTTTGTACTGTTTTGATAACAATTATGTCTACACACTAAAAGTCTAACAGACAAATCTGCTACATAAACATCAAATTTCTGACACTGAAAAGCATACATAAGAACAAACTGAAGGAAAAAAAAAGCACAAAAAAACAAAAACCCCAAACCAAAAACAAACCAAATTGGGGTTAACACACAGAACAGGGAGGGATGGTGACATTGGTGTCAAGCAAATCATTCACAGATGTGATTTTCTAGCAATGTTGCAAAACATTGACAGGTTAATAAAGAGAAGATCACAACTGTGGTGGGAGGTGACTATAGAATTATGTCAGATAATCGCTCTTGATGCCTGAGAGAGGAGGAGGAAGGACGGATGGTGGGACACTTGAAACAGTGATGTATCTAGCTAGGTGTTGGGGGATGGAGGGGGGAGAGGGGGTGAGGTTGTATGTGAGGGGTAGTGTTGGGGGTAGTAAAGGGTGAGGGAGACCTTTTTCATTCAAGCGATCAATCCCAGACAGGAGAAGAGGAAGAGGCCGGGAAGCGTGGACAGAGTGAGTCGGTGCATGAGTCGTATCTGTCTGTCTGTTGACACGTGAAGACACAGAGAGAGTAGACAGCACCTGCTGCGGCGGGAACTGCTGTTGCTGTTGCGACTGCGGCGTCTGGGCAGGCTGCTGGCCCTGCTGCTGCGACATGCCCATCACCCCGGCCGACGGAGGCATCATGCCAGGAGGATTTTGCGGGCCGCTGGTTTGTATCATGGCCGGGTTTTGCGATGGCCCACCAGCCTGCATCATGGCCGGGTTTTGCGGTGGCTGGGGCCCGCCGGCCTGCATCATGCTGGGGTTTTGCGGGACTCCCGTTTGCATCATGGCCGGGTTCTGTGGCATGCCCATTGCCATCATGGCAGGGTTCTGCGGGGCTCCAGGCTGCATGTTAGCCATAGCCTGTGAGCTCAGCAAGTTAGCCTAGTAGTGAAACAAAACACGGGGGGCCCAGGTTGGGGGGAAATTATAAAACAAAGCAAAACACAACGGAATGCATGGTAAACTCCAGAAAACATGCAAGTCTAACTAGGAAAAATAAACTCAACTGGTTATAAAGGGAAAAAATTGGAGGAAAAAAACAATGTAAAAAAAAACAAGCTAACGAGGTTGAATCCAAATAGCCAAAAGGCAGTCTAATATCAAACATGACAGTACAATGCAAATCAGAACTGATAACAAATTTTAAAAACGCTACTCATTATTTTCCTGGTGCGAGCTCTTGAAGCAAGAAAGCGGAACAAATCAAAGTGGAGGCTTACAACAGGTCACCACAGTTAAAAGTCCATATATTATTATTATCACAAGAAACTTCCTTTTTTTCTTGTAGGGGGTTCATGCCCTTATCTATACAATTTAGATTAGATAAATTAGGAGGCTCTTTGAGTAAAGAGAAGCACATCAACTCCATAGTAACCATCTAGCACAGGGGAAAAAACAAGACAGATAAGAGAGGAAAAACTGAGTGAAAGAAAAGAAATAGGGCTTTCTTGTGGTGCCCTCCAAACACTCACATCAAGCTCTGACAGAGCTGTAGAGACTGGTTTTACGTTAAAATCATAAATACAAACATGAACAGTACATCAGAGAAGGTACTCTAAAATTAGGACAAAAGAGCATGTAAACTAGGGAAGATAAGAGAATTCCCTGGCTGCCCACCCCATGATTCTGCAAGCATGGACCAAAAAAACCCAACTGGCAATCATTCCTTGTTGTTATCCAATTCACAAAGAAAACCTGGCACATCACTAATTCATCATGGGGGGGGAACATACACTATGTGGGTGTTTATTTTATGTCCTATGATGATAGTATGTGGGGCCAATCAGGCCATAGCGAGAAAAAAGGATAAAATCACCTTATCAGAAATTCTCAAGACTACGCTACTGGCATACAAAACAAAGGTCTTTCCCAGGCTTCCATCCAAAACCCTAACTGGCAACGTGACATAATTATGCACAATGTAACTAAACCTGAGCCACTAGTACATACATGCTAAAACAGTCAGAACAGAGGAATCCTAGACGGGGATGAGGGCTCACACACCAGTCATGCAACACACCAACTGTACAGCTATAAAAGAATGCGTTCCATTGACGGCACACAGCATTGTCTAGTATGATCCATTCTGTTATATTTCGGTGAGGTTAATAAAAATATGAGGCACAAATTGACAAAGCTGAGAGTGCAGACGGAAAATTTCTCAAACTCAAATTTAAAAAGGCATGTCAATGACTTGAACTACAGTTGTTTGCACTGTAATCTAGCAAATTATGAGATGATGTTATAGCCTGCTCATGGAAGGGACTCCAAAGAGTGCTAAATCTGGACACCAAAAAGCAAAAGAAAATACAGGGTGATCCCAAAATAAATCTGTGCACCTTGTTTAGTAAATATCTTCCTCCATACTGAAGTTTTGCGTTTCAGATTTGAACAAAACATTTGAAAGCCAAAAGGAATTTGCCTGATATTCATTTTAGATATGTCCATTGAATGATTTTGCTCTATACGGCGCATTAAAAGAAAACCATTTCCCACCTTGTCGCCATTTTCATAGCATGACGCACCAGTTCGCATTAGGCCTAGCACTAAAAGTTGCAACAATCACACCAAATTGCAAGCTACAGCAGTCTAACAAATCAATAGAAGTCAGCAGATATTATTTTCCCCAAATTTTGTTTGCAAGCTGAGATAATGGTTATGTTTAGTAAAGAGCAGAGAGCTTTTTGCATTGAACATCACCTCTCCACAAAACTCACTGTCCTTGACATTTTGTAAGTTCTGCGCACGGCATGGAGAGAATGCTTAGGTGCCCTCAAGACCTTTGGTGTCACAAGTAGAAAAGTTCCTTCAGTTTGGATCTACAGCGAATCAGAACTAAAAATTTCCTAAAGAATCACCACTTCAAACACGCACCATGCACAGCCCTATAAATGTCACGAGGGTGCAGATTTCAGTAGTCTGTCTGTAGACGATCTGCAGCTAGGACTTTCATACACTCAACAGGCTGCATTCTCATGGCAGATCTTAACTCATGACTGTAACACTTTCATCTTCCCTAGGCCGAGATGACATGGATCAGAGCATGGCAACGTGTTCATGATCCCTCGATTGTCTTGAAAAGCGGGAACATTTCTTCGATGACATCTGGTTTAGTGAAAAGTCCATTTTCACCCTGTGGGATATGTTAACTCCCAAAATGCTGTCTTATTGGACACCCCACTCCCTATTGTCTCTAGAAGCCACTTCATACTGAATATGTACAGTGTTTGTGGCTTTAAACACTCATGGTTTAGTAGGTCCATGTGTTTAGGCGACATTGAACATTTCGAACGACGCGTTAAAAATGTGTCGAGTCAAAAGGAGGGCAGGTAAACCACTGCTTCTAGGAATTTCAGAATGAAATCGTTATTCTTTTTAACTCTGTAAAAGAAATTAAATATTGTTTAAGTGTGACAGAGATGGAAAATTAGAAGTCAAAGAGAAAATAAAGAAAAAATCCAACCAATCTTTTCACGACTTTCTTTACAAGATTTTAAAAAATTGGTGAGCTTTGCGTTTATGGTCGCTTTTTCTTAAGTCATTTCTGTTTTCAAAACAAGTTTCTTCTTCGCAGATTTTATGTCAAACAAATTCCTTTTAAATGAATTCTATGTTTGTTCGAAATTACAGCATTCTAGAACAATTTTTGTGCGAGATATTCAGAAAAAAAGTGGTACAGTTGTTTTTTTATCACTCTGTATATGAATATTGCCTTGCAGAACTGACTTTGTATTGTATGGGCACAAAGATAAGATCAATTTTCTTTCATTCCTTGTCGTTACTGACATCGATCTAGTAACACACAGTGTTTAACCCCATAACTTCCATGCTGTCCTATAGAGCCAATTAACGAAGGCATCTCTCCGACAATACACGCAACGAAAACTTCACACCAAGCAACTTCTAAGAAAGAGGAACAAATGCTACACATAAATTGAGGGCATTTGTTGCTTTGCAAGTCCCTTTTTCCCCCCCTGAAAACCTTGAATGTCTCAAAAAGACTGTTCCATTCGAGAGGAACCAAAGTAGAAACTGGTATCTACTTATTCCTCTACACATTTTCCTATTCGTGAACTGATCAGATACTTTAACACGGAGGGCAAAAAGCTACAACGTGGCAAATGCCATAAGACCAGAGACAGATTTATGAGATGAACGTGTTTTTCTTGTTATAAATTTCTTCCCTTCTAAGCCATGAAACAATCACAACCAACCAAAAATAAATAAAACCAAACAAAACATCCAAGACGAAAGGAAGGAAGCAATCAGCCAAAATAAAGTAGATAACCTAAGTCACACTGAAAAGATTAGAAAGGCACGACAGCAGGAGAACATAAGCTGCCAAAACTGTCAACCTAGCAACCAGAAGACTACTTGGTCAGAGGACAGTGGTGTGAAATGGTGTGAAACAGAAACCGCTGACATTACCAAGACTAAATTTTACAGAACAGGTCCAGATTTGATTTATTTGGTACTTTTCAGTCTTGAAGCTACCTATAAAGGCTCAAAATATTTTTTTTAAAACACACAGTTAGAATTTTTAACCAATAATTAACCCCACAACAGATATTTAACAAGAAAGTTTACAGACGAACGATGTAGCAAGAAATTCTCAGATTTACAGTGTTTGAGATTATGTTGAAGTCTAGAACACTTTTATCAAGTTACACGATTGTATACCTTACTTCATTTTCAAGGCAATTAGCCAGTAGTCTGCTGCCAAACCAATTTTTAAAAAATCATTCTCATGGCAAAGAAAAGGCTAAATTTTTGTACGAGTTCATTATCCCCATACAAAAACTTTAAAAAACCCAAATGCACTCCCCTCGCTTCGAAACGAAATAAATCCAAATATATCAACAAATCAGCACGAGGGATGTAGCTGATGCCTAAACAAGGGTTGAAGTCTTGAATGAACGGTGAACGAACATTGAAAGGTAAAGGCGTACCTGAGAGTTTGGCACTGCCTGCTGTGCCATCTGTGGGTTGATCATGGCCCCTGGGGTGGACATTCCCACCGAGCCTTGTGGCTGCATGTTCATCATGGCTTGGTTGCCTGCCATGCCCGGCTGACGCACTGCGCGGACAAAACAAGGTGTGAACAACCCGTAACAAAATAAAACAAAAGCAAAAAACCTAACAAAAACAGCAACAACAAAAAAAGGCATGGGGGACGGGGGAAGGATTCAAATAACATTTACAGTTTCACCTCCTGACATGGAGCTTCAAAATTTATTTTAGATGATGGGGAAGAAAACAATAACAAAAAACCCCCCCAACAACCCGACATCAAAACATCTTTTCTCAACCTTTTCCAATTCAATAGTATACAAGATACGATAATTTATTTGAAGGATGATTTCATTCCAATTTTTTAGTTTTAGAAAGAGTTTTACTGCACTTGCAATACAATAAAGTCAAATAAGTGCTGAAGATTAGAGGTGTTACAAACGAGTAACAAACACAAAAAAGAAGGAGAGATCAGGACCATGGATGTTTGATAGGAAAGAAGGAGCAAACCACACCAGAGCAACCACCAACCACCCACTTTCGTTTTTTGTAAGAGCATCTGCAACACAAATAAGTCACATAAGTGCAGACGATTAAAGGTAGGAACATACAAAGATAAGGAGGAGAGATAATAGGATAATATATGATGGAAAGGGGAGAAGGAACAAAACATACCAGAGAGTTTGTCCATCACTCATAATTTGAAGGGTGAATGCACAGACTCAAACACAAATACACATACACACACATGGTATATTCATTACTCACTGATCATGTTGGCATCTTGAGGAGGCTGCTGCTGGCGCTGCAGACAGAGTAAGTTTCACGCAAATCAGGGCAGAGTAAACAGCATAATTTGCTCGCATGCAGCCAAAACAGTAATATCAAGATATGAGCCAAATAATCATAAGTTTTTAAAATGTACAGAAACATAATATGCAAGTAAGATATATTAAACATAAATTAAATACTAACTGAAACACAATTCTAAAATATACACAAAAACATAATCCTAAAAAGTACAAATAAACTATAATTCTATGGAACTAAAAAAAAAACAACAACAAATTAAATATAATTTCAAAAGACAGGCTAAAACATAATTCCCAAACTAAAATTTTTACAAATCAAATAAAACCAATCAAGTTAAAATGAATTGAGTCCATGCAATCATTTAAACAAATAAAGTATAAATGGATAAAATAAAGTATACAAGGCAATCACGGGTGTAGTAGTCGAGGTAAGCTGCAAGAACCATCAGGAGGAAATAGGCAAAAGAAACACATAGTCAATGCTCTGATGTCAGCTACCATGTTCTAGCCAGGTCAAAACATATTTGCTACACACTGCTCAGCGCAATGTGCTTTTGTTTCTGTTTGGAAATAATGTCTTTTTCCTCTGTGTTTGTGCACCAAGGCCCTTAAACCCAAAATGCAACTGACTTTTGCCTGAACACTAAATTTTCTGTGTGATACACAGTTTTCTTTGCCCTTAAAATATCCATACACTATCTAGCTAGGTGGTTCTTTTTATTTACTGAAACTGACAAAACAAAGTATTTGAAACTAACTATAACAACTAGTATAAGACAATCACTTGCATAAAAGGCGACTATCGATCCCCCCCTTCTCCTCTGAATATTTCATTTTTACATAATAATGACACTGTGTGAAATGTCCACATGTTGCTGTCTTAGACAATTTCGATTGTATCTCACAAAAGTCATCTGACCAACTACAAAAAGATGACTAACAAATGAAGAAGCAGTACTGCACCACTTCTTCTCATTACCCACACAGAGAGGTCTCTAGCAAGCTTACCCCCCCCCCTCCCACAAATATGGATTTAATATAGAGCTTTTCGATGGGTAGTTGAGGACATGACCTTCAGCAAGACACTGTGACCATAACTCAGTACAGAGTGCATACTGTGGTAACAAGTAACAACGTGATAGAGTGATATAGATAGAAATTTTTTATTAGGCCATGGATAAACAAACAATATCATGCTATTGGCTCAGGAAAATTTGACAAATATCCCAATGGGGACCAATAAAGTGATCCCCTCTTTTTTGCTTTTACATTCTGTCCTTGAACTCACACCATCATTTTCTGGTACACACTGGTCCAACTAACCACACACACCATCATTTTCTGGTACACACTGGTCCAACTAACCACACACACCATCATCACATGACACACAAAAGTAGACCCAATAAAACACAAACACTATATGGTCTGTTGAGACATACGCTGTTCTGTCTTTAGATCTTTTGACCCAGAGCAGAGTGGCTATATGCTGTTCTGTCTTTAGACCCAGAGCAGAGTGGCTATATGCTGTTCTGTCTTTAGACCCAGAGCGGAGCGGAGTGGCCATACGCTGTTGTCTTTAGACTATTAGACCCAGAGTGGGGTGGCTGTATGCTGTTCTGTCTTTAGATCTTCAGAACCAAAGTGGAGTGGCCATATGCTGTTCTGTCTTTAGACCCAGAGCGGAGTGGCCATGTGCTGTTGTCTTTCATTGTTCATTGTTTCAGGACTATTAGACCCAGAGTGGGGTGGCTATATGCTGTTCTGTCTTTAGACCTTTAGATCCAGAGTGGAGTTGGCAGTTAACAATAGATAAATGGCATATAACATCAGAGCAGGGAGGAGTAAGGATACCGAGGAGAGGTTCGTCGCCACCGAGTGGTACGTCAAGTCATGACCTTTGCATGCTCGACTACATCAACAATCAACACAATAAAGAAACTACGAGAGACATAAATATTGCTAAACAGTCATTGTGTTTATCAGAGAGAGAGGGGGAGGGGAATAAGTCAACTACCATTCTGGGCTGCATCATGTTAGTGGCGCCTGCGAGTCCCGCTTGACCTTGAACTTTGGCTTGCTGACCCTTTGAAGCAAAACAAGGCACAGGCTCAGGTCATCATACAGCATACATAAGTCTTCATTTTTTGCACTTGTATAACACCTCAGTAAACCCAGATAGGTCACTTCAAAGGTGGGTCCCACACCGTGGGTTTTTTCAGTTTGTCTTCTTCGCCAAATCGAACTATCGGTCGACTCAATGGCATGAAAGACAGCTGGATTGAATATAAAATAGCATTAACACATGCAAGTGGGAAAGTGGGATGGGATAAGGCCTTAATTCCCCCAAAACCTGTCCTCTTCCTGAAGCCACATACTTATACATGAGCCTGTACATGAACTCCCTTTTCACAAAAGGCCAGTCCTGCAAGACACACAAGGTACTATGACCCTATGGGTAGAGAAAAGAAAAAAAAGAAGACAGAGATTTAACACCAACACCCCCCCCCAAATGTGCTTGAACATCCAATACAAAATGTGTACTTGTGTAATAAGTTAACACAGCACTCATCTCAGGCTTTACAACCCCTACAGGCAGCACCCACAGCATAACATTGCTCACTGAAGGAGGTGACATTAGGTGAAATGACCTAAGACAATATGTCTACACGGCACCAACAGAACCAACGTTTTTTTGGGGGGTCTGTTAGAGAGGAACACACTGGCATAGAGATAGTCACCTAGTGTAAGAAAATCTAAGAAAAAAACACACAAAAAAACAACCTTGCAGAGAATGGGAAAAGGCAACAACACCAAATGTTCAGCGTAGGGCATTTTTGAGCAATGCTCAAGAAGGAGCCACAGAGGGGCAACCACAAAGCTCTAAAAGAAGGTGGAGGACACCCTTTCCAAAAAATACTTAGCGAGTCAAAATGCCCTTTTCAAACATAAACAAAAAATCAAACAGACCACTTATTCAGCATTCATTTAGCAATTTTCATCAACCAAAACTCTCTAACACACTTCCCATATGACAGCCTCAGAGTCTATGTGTCCTAGAGCACCATTGCAAACCACAGAACAGACTCTATTTTACATTTCAGATCCACCAGTATAACAATAAAAATACAGTAACATTAATTGCTTATTCACTTGTTAAAAACATTCATTACAATATTCTTTTGGTTTCTATTTCTAAAATACATTGCTAAAGTAATATTATGAGCACCATCCCCACCCCCTCCTTAGTTTGCCACACAAAAAGAAATATCCCCCTAAATTCTTGACTGTTTGGTCACCATGCAATGTCAGCCCTCATTAATATATTTTACTTTGGCTTGAAGTATAAAAGCCCCCTAAACTCAACCACATGTGAAGGAATCCAAAGACAGAATTGGGAGCATAAGAAACAATGTGGGACAACTGAAGGAGGCAAAACCAAAGATAGAAAGAAAGCAACTTCAATGAAGGAATATGAACTTCAAAAATAGAAATGCACAGAAAGAAAGGAAAGCTCTTGCATGCTATAGCAGTTCAATCTTCTATCTGAACATTTACACAATGATTATTGCTCTACAAAGAGACACAAGCTGTGTGCAGCTCTTTGTGAAGATAGTGTAGTCAAACACAAATTACACAAAATGTTCAATTTTTTTAGAAAAAGAAAATTAAATCTGAAAAAATGTCCATGTTACTACACCAGCTCTCACAATAGGTTTTTAAAATATCACTTTTACTCTCTTCATTGGCAGTCTGGAAAAACAAGGAGCTAGACTGAATGCAGGCTGTGTGAGACACCACAAGACAGTACAATAATGCCACAACCCGATTAAATATCTTCTCCAAGTGAGAATTGAACTCATTGTTTAGGAGCAGGAGCAGCCTTACGATTACAGATATCAGTGACATTTTCTAATGTTATCAATTCCTTAACAAATTCTAGCACCAAAATAAAAAAGCCCAATAATTTATACCTGCCCATAATACATAACTGCATCTTTGACTTATCTTTTAAACATAAAAACACACATAGAATATTAATAATAATTCTGTAATTTCAGGAAACACTTCTCCGATACAGATAAGAAAAAAATTATATTTCACATTTTTACAGTAATTTTGTTATTTTCATGTCCATACTTTGTTCTCTTTAGAAAATATCCTTCTACTTTTTTACTTGATACTTTGATCAATTTTTAGTCTTTAGCACAACAGTGTGCACACAATACAATACACAAATATATGCATCAACCAGACATATCAACTGACAAGCGATTTAAATTTTTTTTTAATTCTTGACAAAATAAGCAGTTATTCAATTTTTAAGAAAACAGTAACTAAAAGCTGAATAAGTATAGTTGATGTTACAAGGACAATTACAACATAACAGATAACAGCTCAAATGAAAACTATCAACTTACACCTAAGAATTGCAGGGAGCGTTTTTAATGAGACCGGGTTACCTCATTTGGATCAAAAAACAAATATTTTGTGAACAATATTGAAGACATTAAAGAGAGAGAGAGGTGGGGGGAGGGAAGGGTGGTGGGGGGCTAAGGAAGGGAAAGTCTGACACACAGATACGCACACACACACACACAAACATGCACACAAAGTCAGTGCAAAGGCCCACCTGTGGCCTCATGGGCATCATGAGCGTGTGTTTGCCCTGGCCTTGACCCGGAGCCTGCCCCGCCCCCATGGGGTCCATCCCACCGGCCATGTTCCCAGCTCCAGCCATCACCACTTGTGGGTTGCCCACCTGCTGGATGCCAAGGGGAGAGGACTGTGCCGCCTGGGGGCCAGGGGGCTGCATCATCTGCTGGGCGCCCGGCTGCTGGTTCATCATACCTGGAGCAGAAAGGGTGTCATTTCAGTTTTAGTAAGAGTTTTACATCACTTGCAACACAATTAGGTCATATAAGTGCAGAAGTTTAGAGGAGCAACCTGATTTCCATAGTTTTAGTAATAAGACTTTTACAGGGCCTGCAACACAATAAGGTCATAAAAGTGCTGAAAATTAGAGGTGTTACTTGAGGGTAACATACAAAGCAAAGAAGGAGGAGAGATAAGGTTGATAGTTGTTTGATAGGAAAGAAAGAACAAACATCATTAGAGCACCTGCCAACCACCCACACGAGAGGACATATCAGAGCTACTTGCACATGGACCTACAAATGAAATTTTTAAAGCCACCTGGGCAGAGAGGGATACAATACAACATCCCGGCAGAAAGATAAGAGATAATAACAACTCTCCCCACTTGGGAATCAACCTCAGGTCTTTTGCGTGCAAAGGCGAAGTGCCTAATCGCTACTCCAAGGACTATTTTCCCCACATAGGAGCAGTACACATGAATAACAAGTGCATTCATAAGTGGTATCTGGCTGCCCGTAAGGCGACAAACACTATGTATACTGTGGGGTTGGAAAAACTACGCCCCTGAAGTAGTATAAAAGAAAAAGTATATATGACCGCACACGCTGTTTAAGGAAGTTACTGTAAAGCAGTGCAAGCTTCTCCAGGATACCCGACTATACATATGCACTATAACATTTAAATAAAACAACCAAAACAGAAGAACAAAACAAGCCACATAGATGGAGATACCTGGTTGACTGGTCATTGGCTTTTTGAAAGCATCGGGGACATTCTGTGCAGCCTGCTCCTTTATCATGGCTGGGCTGGGAGCTGAGAAGTTGAGTACAATGAACAAAATAATCATACATACAGGCCATGGTCATAACACACCATGATTTAGGTAAAACTATAGTTTTATTAATGTTGTAACACAGTCTGATCAAGGTAAAAATATGCAATGACTAAGGCTGTAACAAACTGTGATCAAGGTTCCAACACTCACAAAAGTAAATATTTTGGGTTTAGGTTCGAAGATGAGAGGAGTAGTGGGCACCTTAATGTCACTAGAGGCTGTAGAATCTACAAAGAAACTTCATGACATTACAGTCATAAGAAAAATGAATGACTCCATTTGACCCTATTTTACACGATGAGGAAAAAAACCCTGATTGAAGTTATTTATTTTTTTAGTGTAGAGATGACATATTGGTAGTGTCCAGCATAAAATCCTGAGTCTGAGATCTGCTCAGTTCTGTCTCCAGTAAAATACACTTTTTGGAACTGTAGACAGCATCATCTTTACAAAACTACTTACCTTTGACAGCCTGCTTTTTGTCCTCTTCAATCTCAGATCTCTCTGAAAAAAGCAAATAAAGCAACACAATGTAGTCAGACCTACCTGTCAGGACACCTCCCTTTTGTATTTTGTAACAACTGACTTCATCCATCTGGACACATTTGTTTCAACAGAACAGATATGTAGAACTGAAATCTTTAACAACCCAAAATACACCTCCCCCCCCCTCCCCCCCAACCACATCCTACTTTCAGAAAAATACCAGACCTCACACATCCTTTTATGTGAACAGAATAAACATGGTAAACTTTCCCTTAACTACTCAGGGTCTGTCAACATTTTCATAGCATCTACTGTTTCTACACTTTAGGAGGCTAATATCTTTATACTGCCAACCTACATGTATTTCGAAGCGGGGCATTAAACAACCACCGCTGTTACTACCCAGGTGATCCCTACCACCGACCAATATTACCACATTGCCTGCTAGTGGAAAGTACCTCCCTGGTTGGCACGCACTGCAATAAACACTTCTCCTGAACCAAGCTGCAGTATACATCAACTCCTTATAAACGACACAATGAGAAAAATTTTCTTCCATAGCTGTTGGGCTTCATATATACAAAGAACATTTATCATGTGAGGTCACGCCTTGAAGCTAAAAGCACAGAAAGAAACTATCTTTACATACCAACGGCAGGAGTGTTTGAAGCCAAAACAAACATTATACATAACAACATATTATTATATTAAAGAGGTTTTAAATGCCGAAAAGCTCCTCTTCCCCCCCCCCCCCCCCCCCCCCCCTCCCCTCCCCCCCCCCCCCCCCCCCCAGCCGAATAATCTGTACCTTGAAGCTGAAACCCCTTGAGCAGCACCAGATGGCGGGGGTCGACAGCGTAGTATCCCTGTTGGTGCGGGTGGTAGTTGTCACCTGCCGCAGCCTGGCCAATAGACAAGGGAATTGTCATGTGGAGTAGAATAATTTGTCCTAGTAAGCGTTTTACGGCACTTGTGTAGCACAATAAGGTTATATAGGTGCCCGAGATTAGAGGTGTGACAAAAGAGTAACAAACACAAAAAAGGAGGAGAGATCAACACCATAGATGTTTGATAGAAAAGGAGCAAACCACACCAATGCACCTACCAACCATCCGCTGGAGCAGATAAAAGGAGCACCTGCCAATAGGGCTGGAGTCTGCTCGATTAATCGAAGGCTTGCGAGTAACGGACGGCTCGTGCCAGAGGCTTGCGAGCAGGCTTGAGCTTTGCCCGCAACCGGAGTTGCTACTCGTGGACGGCGGATGGGCTTACTGATTTGTGTCGTGACGTCACAAACTCTTGTTTACTGAGCGCGCGATACTTCTGCCCGTGTGCCGCACGCTGAAAAGCCCTAAAAAACCCTCACACTTCCAGTGATGGCACTGTTTGGGGAGGGGAGGGGGTGGTATGGCTGGGAAAGCGAGAGGTGTTCGCCACCCCTCGCTTTCCGTAGAACCCGCCCCTCCCCTTACGCCTCCTGGTTTGACAGGGTTTTATTTGTCTTGTTTTTTGGGGGGGGGTTTTGGTTCAGTTTTTTGTTGATTAAAAAAAAAATTTGTTGGTGGGGGGAAGGATTATGTTTTGCTTTATTGATTTTCTGGGCGTAATTCGACATCATAATTAATATTTGTATGATAGAACATGCACAATACATACATAATATCAGTTACAGTGCAGCAAGATGTTTTTTAAAAGTTATAGGCCTACAATGTAATTAATAATGTGATATAATTTACCTTAACAATGATCTTCTGATAGGGAAGCAGTCAAATCAAAAGTTTTTTACATTGTTCAGAGACAAAATCACGATTGTCATCCCCTCCCCAATGCTTTCTCTTCAACTTCAACTTGTTCTAAGTGTCGGGGTGGGAGTGGAAGTGTAGTTTAGGCGAGTGATTAAATTACAAGCCACGGGATGCTAACAATACTGATTTATTTTGTCAGTTAAAAATTGTTTGTAAGTGTTCACACCTTTATTCTGCGTCCTAAATAGTTTAGCATACCGCGACCCCAGTGCTTTCTTGTCGTATCTCCATTTTTAATACCAGTGAACACAGCTGATAACAAAATGTGAGCCTATGAAGATGTCACATTTTCACTGTTAAAGCACCGAGGTCGCGAACGGTCTGCACTAGGCTATTACAGCCCTCTTCGCCTTGCACCAAAACCAGCGCTGCCTCTCGCTTCCTCCACGTCCAGAGTTCAGAGTTCACGCCGCGAGCAGGGTGGATTACCGGTAGATCTTACGGCTCGATGCAGACGAGCGGTGTTTGCCTGACGAGCGGTGTTTGCCTGATGAGCGGTGTTGGACTCAAAGCAGATTTATTGGCACGAGAGCAAGCCCTTAGCACAAAGCAATACGAGACGCAAAGCAGGTCTTGGGACCAAGTGCTTTGCTCTGCTGCAATTTGAGTCTTGCCTGCCGTCCACTGCTCGTATGCCTTCGAATAATCGAACAGACTAGTTTGTGCCACAATGACACTGTGCGCGGGGTCTCTCTCTCTCTCCCCCTCTCTCTCTTTCTGACGTTAGGGGTTTCGCGGAATGCAAGCAGGGAGGGGAAGGAAGAGGGGGTCAGACACGAGTGGCTTCGCGGATTGCAATTTGGTGTGGGTACTTGAAGCTTAGGCTAGACTCAACGTATCATGCTGGTGATTTGATTTGATGATTTGACCTAGTGATTTGAGGCTTGTGACTTGAACTAGGGTCTTGCGAGCACGAGCGTGTTTGCTACCGGGGTACAGCCCTACCTGCCAGCCATCTGCTGGTGTAGAAAAAAGATGCCTTGTTTGTGTCAATGGTGTCAGACACGGTTTAGCCAAGTCTTCAGCTTATATCCCCTCCCCAATCCAAAACTGATGTTTAACTATAAAACAAATGTTGTCCATTCCTTAGAGCTCTAATCAAGGTCAGAGTTGCAGGTCTATTTTGGGATTATACAGAAAACTTGGTCATTTACTGTCAAAATTTCTACAGCAGTATTTCTGAATCAATATAATTGAAACATGGTAATCAGAAAAAAAAAAAAAAAAAAAAAGAAAAGCATTTCAACAAAAAAGACACAATTACATCAAACACAAGAATAAAGAAGAAATGAAAAGAAAAGTCATACCTCATTGAAAAGTTTCTGGAGTGCTGGAATCTTACGAGGGGAAATAATCGACAGATGCACTCCTCTCTAGAGCAAAAAAAGAGAGGTCATATTTAGAACTAACAGAGATAAATTCTGTAGACGATCTATCCATGGTTACAAAAATGAAATACTGTTAAAAAACAATACCTCTCTGACAGAAAACACTAAAATCCCAGACAAAATGGAATACCAAAGAACATACAGTACACATAAGTCTTACTTTATTCATCCTGTGGTCTGTATTTCAACCATATCAAAAAGCAAGCAATGATGCTTTTTAAGTATTTAAACCCTTTGTTTCTTATTTTAGCAACTCACATTGCTTGCAAGAACATTACTTGGAGCAAAGATCAGAACAGAAAGTGTTTAATATATTTCCTGATAGTTATTGCTTAGCTATCAACAAATAAACTATTTTAAACAGAATATCAAGAAGTTTTTTAGACTTTTCAATGCCTTTCCTGGAAACTCCAACTAAAATTATTTTAGAGTAAGTAGTGGAAATTGTCATAATAACAAAAGACATGGTCACAGTAAATGTAGAATCACCACATAAAAGAGAGAGATTAACAAAGCAGCTAAGGTTTAGAATTCTACAATCAGGACCATATATATTTCAGTCAAATCTTCTGTTATGGCTACTTATCCAAGACAATCGCAAGAGTGCAAATGACTGCTTTCCATCTTGCTGGCTTTTTTCTTTATTATAATGACACTTTCCAAGACAACCACACCTGTCTGAGACAACCACTTTTCTCCTCGACAATGGATGGCAATCTTGTACAATTTGGACTGTATTGCATATAAAAATTCAACTCTATACCTTTCCCATCATGCTTGCCAGTTGTTCACTGTTGTAACCTCGATAGTCCTGGCTTTCTTCTGCCACTATGTGGTATGGAGGAGAGTTGCAGATGAGGATGCAGTGGCGTTGACTCGGTTTGCTGTTCCAAGTAAGGGACACGATAACAAGAAGCAGTAAATTGTAAATAGTGTCAGCTGATTTGAATTGCTGTTCAGTGGAAAGTGGCAATACAAATGCTACATTACACAAAAACATCCTGGAAAAATAGACACACTGTAAAGAAGTAGAAAGAGAAGACCCCATCACGGCTCCAATGAGCAACCTTATTATAAGTATAGTATTTGGAACAAAGAAAGTAAAATTCCCCTCATATGAAACCAAACTGTAGTTGATTGAGGAAGCAAAAAAAGGGGCAAAATAAATAGAATGGAAACTTGTGGTTAGGTTGTCAGGCCATTACAACAAGCTTTGTGTCAACAGTTTGAACTTGGCAACTATACCAAGGAAAACACCAACTCATACAAGCAAACATTTGTCATCCTTGGTTACTTCCCCTTATACTCGCACACAAACTATGACTAAAACAGCGTTTTAATTTTGAGCCTTGCTATAAAGGACGAAACAAAAGCATATCATCAAAGTTGTTATATATATATACAATTTGAATTAAGATCATACATGACACCAACTGGGCTAACCAAAAACGTTTATGATAGAACCCAACGGACAACAAATGAAAATGAAAATATAAAAGGAAGCATGAGATTTCTTTCCACAGTTCAGGGCCAATTTTGAAGATTTTTTATTATTTAATGAATGTAAGATTTAAGCTTGAAGACAGCAGGAAACGTAAAACACAGAAACTAATAGTAGGATTGAAACATTAAAAGTAAAAGTTGAGTAAATCAGTGAAGAATAAACAATGCGTACTTGTTCTTGTTGAAGACTTAAGAGAAGAGTTGGTGAGGTATTTCAGGTAATGGGACTGTTTTTAAAAAGTTTTAGTAGAAGTTTTACGGCGCTTGCAACTGCATACGGTATTATGAGCGCTAGAAGATTAGAGGTGCTACATGAGAGTAACAAACATAAAAAAGAAGAAGGGGAGAAAAGGACGATAGATGTTTCATTGGAAAGAAGAAGCAAACCACACCAGAGCACCTGCCAACCTCCTACAATGGGACTGTCAGTGCGTTTGTGAGCGAAAAATTTTAAAAACAAAGGGGGAGGGGGGGAGAGAAAGAGAGAGAGAGTAGGAGGGAGAAAGTAATTATACTTGTGCAGAAAGATGTATTGAAAAAAAATTGTTTCGATTCTTTTTTTTTTTAAAGCCCACAATGAAAATATGAATTATTGATACCAAACAAATGACCTTAAGCTTTTTCTATTTCTTACCCTGAATATCTGAGCTGTTTAATCTCATCCAAACACTGTAATGCTGTACTAAGCCCCTCCGACACATGGCTAGAGCTTTGGCCAGCACCACCTATGAACCTGTTTGAGATTGAGAAGGATGCAAAATCTTGGAAACAAATTCAGCAGGATAACTGCTTCCAGGAGGAGGGAGAGGGATGGGGAGAGGGAGAGAGTCGGAGAAAGATAGAGATAAAGACATACAGAGAGAGAGAAAGAGAAAGAGAGAGAGAGAGAGAGAGAGAGAGAGAGAGACAGAGACAGAGACAGAGACAGAGACAGAGAGATAGAGATGAGGGGGGTTGGGAGAAAGAGAGAGAGAGAGAGCGAGAGAGAGGGAGAAAGAGACAGAGAGAGAGAGAGAGAGACAGAGAGAGAGAGAGAGACAGAGAGAGAGACAGAGAGAGAGAACAATTCATTTTGGCGCTCATATGACTTAATGGAGTTACGAGCGCCGTAAAACCTCAACTAAATAAATAAAACTAATAAAGCAATTCAGCGTATCAATACAGATAGTGCAAACAAAATAACAGCACATTTTATATTATTAGATAATGGTAAGTCAAAAGCTGATTATTAACGACATGACAATGTGAGAAACAATAAGTCCTTGAAGGTTCAGGTATTGGCTTAATTCCAGCATGCTCCCTGTGAAACTTCAAGAATTTTCATTAATGTTGGGGGGGGGAAAATTGAAATTAAAATAAATAAAACTGTTTTCAACAAAAATCTGAACAAACATACATGCATAACATCTGCCATTTGTAGTACTCAAGGGTGAGCCTGCCTGTAAACACCAAAGGCTATCAAGAGTGTCATTACAAAAATGGAACACAAGGGTGCTCACTAGCAAAGGTAAAATTTAAAAACTTACTTGACCCTGTGGAAATGGAAGTACAGATACTCAAAATTTATGGATAACGTTGACCAATACCTCTTGTATCAAGACTATTTTTTATAAAATAAAGGGTAAAATCTGCAAAATTAAAAAAATGGGTTTTGCGTTTTAGTTTTAAGAAGTTTTTGAACAAGAGTTTTGCCGTACTAACAACACAATTAGGTTATTAAAGTGCAGAAGATTAGACGTGTTACAAGAGAGAAACAAACACACACACAAAAAGGAGGAGACATTAGAACGATACATGTTTGACAGGAAAGAAGGAGCAAACCACACCATAGCAACCACCAACAAATACGGATTTCCCGATTTACCATGTAAATAGCCCATCTATAGTAGAACTGTGACTTACTCGAGGTTATCAAAGGACTGTATGAGTTCGTGCGTGCTGGTGGTCGGGTACGTGCAATCAGACGACATCTCTGGAGCGGCATCCCCAGCACGGTACGTGACCAGGCAGTACAGAGTGCAGTTGTACTGAGAAAGAATACACATGCACAGATACATGAATTTAGTAAGAAATACAAGTAACAATTTGTGTTGAATAAATGCACTTTTTTTAAACTAAACATTTTTAAAACAAAGTATAACAAAATCTATTTCTTACATTTGAAAAAAAAAATTCTTACGTTACAATTGAATACAAAGAAGAAAAAAGTCCACTTGGATTCATTATTTTCATTTCTCAATGCTTGATCAGTCAAAAATTAATTTGTGTTGAAGCCACTGATAGAGGATATAGTCCAGGATTAATCACTCCAGTCATACTCATGTTTGAGACTGGCTCATAATATTTATTGTAGTAATGGATAATAAACAATATAATACAAAACATTCACCTATCACTCCACACAATGCTTTACAACAGATATATACAGTATATGTACACACAAATCTCATCACATAATACAGCATCAAACCTCTTTCTCATTATTATCATTCTGTCTCAGATTTTTTACTATTTTTCTCATTTTCAGAAACAGGTTAAGGTAAAAAGTCTTCATACAAAAATAGCACCTACCTAAAGCTGTGCAGCAGCAACATAGGAGCCTACTTAAATTCACTGTAACATCATACTGACAAATACACATGTGTGCCTAATGTTTGTCTTTAACTTGAAACCAAAGTCAAAGTGACTTAAAACATAATTCCTTTTTGTTCTTAACTGATAGGAAAATAAAAACCACACTCCTCCTGATATCAAAATATATAATATGCATTTGACATATATGTTGATATTATATCACAATAACTTACTCTCTTTTACTTTTCATCAATGAATGACTAGCAAAATCACATTATAATAATACATTTTCTGAATCAATTTCCATTGATTTTAACAGGCATTAAAAGGAAAATAATCAGGGATGCACAACCAGAAAACAAATATTAAAATTACATTACACTCAAGAATGATCAAATAAACAGTAGGCCTATATTTAATACAAAAGAAAACCCCCCACCAAAATTCCTTCTTTCAATTCCACAAAATCATAAACTATGCATACAATTGCTCAAAGTGAATTTTTTACAATCACCAAACTGTCATATTTACTTTTCCGTATTCACATGATATGGCTTAGGTTTTATCTTTAGTCTTGCTATCTTCATTTCTTCTGTAAAGCCTTTTACTGAATATCATCTTTGTTCTGAGATCAAAATGCAGGTCCTCTTGCCTCCTTCACATTGAGAAGTGGAAGGTCAAAGTGGAAAGAAAAAAAGATTATTGAATGGCAACGGCCTCAAAGAATGAAATAAAAAAGTACAAATTTAATTCAAACTTACATCATGGCCAGTGTCAATCGGACTTGGAGGACCTCCATTGAAATACCTGCAAAAAAACGTAAAACGGTAAAAATATCTGGCTGCACTCCACTGGCATCGTCTGTTCAGGAAAGTACTCAATCAACAAAAGAGGCCCAGTTACCTTTAAAACCCTCACACAACATAATTCTACAGAGATGTCGAAGATCATATTTTTACGGGTCCACGACAAAGCCTAGGGTGTGTCTCACTATCTTTTGGACCACCAAGGGATCTTTAACTTTAACTCTTTCCGGACGTATCGCCGATATATATTGGCGCGAGTCCACACCCCTTGCAGACGTGTATCGCCGATATTATATTGGGTATGAAGGGGTGTCTCTGTTTTGTTTCGTTTTAACGTGATCCATTATTTATAAAAGTACTTTTTCTTAGTGTTATGGAAAGGGTTTACGAAATGAAAACATCTACTTTCACTTTGTCAAAGCGTCGGTCCGGCGAAAAACGAGTGAATTAATTCTGCAGTCTTGCGTCAACAAAACGATCTAACCGGACTCAGTATAAATATCATAACTCAAACAAAAATTGAAATACTGCATTCAAATAAAAAGCTGCATGTATATTCAGAAATTTATGGAGTCTGCTCTAGGCCTGTATGATAAGATAGCTGCTCTTTGCTGATTCACTTTCACATGTTTAGTCTGTGTAATTCTTTCCATCAAAATGTAATTTTTCTCACCACCATCACCCTTTCTAACCCTTGTAATACATACTTATATGTTCAAAATTAATCCTTGTTTCATGTTGGAATATATTCCTTATAATTCAATTTCCTTCAATTTGATATTCAATAAATTAATGTTACATTTTGTGTGATGGTTATAATGCTTATATGAAGTTATTTTGTACATCATCTGTGTAGCCGAATTGAGTCACAGGTTAATTACATCTAGATCCCAAAACAACTACATCCGAAAGAGTGAACGTGTGCAACTTGCACACAGGACCTCCGAGACTTTTTGCCCTTGACTGAGAAAGCAAGGTGCTGAACTTTCAGGACTACCATAAGATCAGGGGTGTGGCTGAAAGACAGCAGTAAGAAGGACCCAAGAAGTAGCAGTAGAAAGGCTGCAGAAAGAGTCAGAGGAGCCCAGAGGAGGGAGCAAAGGAGGTGAGAGGGTGGGGTGGGGGTAGAAAGTGGAGTTTAAAAGCAGACAACATAGAACTATGATAACTGTTGTAAGAGAGCAGGAAAGGTTGTGAAAGTAAAGGAGAAAATTTTAGAGAAGAAAAATTTCCATCGCTATCCAGATTCGAACCAGGGACCTATTAAATGAGAGGCAAACACCTTTTATTAACCTCTAGACGACAAGAGCCCCCGGTATCAAAGATGAATGCAATATACAGATGTCTGGGTTGGCTTGTCTGTTATCAAGTTAGAGAGAAAAAAAAAAGGAGGGGAAGATAGTACAGTATTGGCTGTTCCCTTGACTCTTGCTAAAGAAAAGAAACCTACAGGATGTGTCACAAGCCTTTGATCCTGATTGTGGAACATTATAATCACTCATGATCATACTAAGCTAAACAACTGATTACGATGGTTCCATAAAACAATCCCCACTTTTCAACCCTCGCCCAGCGGGGGCCAGGTTTATGTAACCCTATAAGCCTATTTCGGCACCTAGCCTGCGTTCTGGTCCCCAGTCAGTCTAGCCCCTGGCTCAGCGCACACACGTCGGGCATCATCTCACGTTCAATTCGGGTCCCCCGAGTCGGTGTGAGCGTCAGTCTGCTTGAGTATGTGTGCGTTTGAGGCCTTCTTCTTGAACCGCCAGCGTTGTATCGTAACCGAGGCGTCTCATTCAAAATACGCCAAATTGGTAGAGCTCTAGATGTTCGTCCAATGAAATTTTAGAGCAAATTAACCTACTTAGACATGAAGAGCTCAAAAGGATAGTCAGGAAACAAGACTTCCATTTTTCTATACAAAATCTTTCAAATGAGCTTGATTTTGTTTGAAATGTTACCACCTGATTTCAAATTTAAGCTTTTATAATTTTGAATACCATTAGTGCAGGGAAGAGGCTAGCCGTACTTAATGACGGCTAGACTGGCAGTCTAGCCGTACTTATTCTTAATATGATGGCTAGACTGACCATTTACAAAAAATAGGCCTACTGAATTGTAAATTTTATACAGTCAAACCTGCCCTGACGGCCACCTCTATAAGACGGCCACCTGTACAAACGGCCACTTTCCATTTCCCCCCTTGCGTTTTTTCTATATAATTTAACTGTGTAAAACGGGCACCTGTCCAACGCGGCCGCGGCCACCTTATTTTAACACACAACCCCTATCACACTAAGCAATAACACCTGTCTTAGACGGCCACCTCAGTGACTCCATTACGTTTTGTCATAAATTATGCATTGGCCCCTGGCGTTGTGGGCGAGCCGTCATAATTCAATCACTTGTTGTTGTTGATAGGTAGCCCTCCAACCGATCATGTTGCGTAGGCCCCTCCCACTGTTGACCAATAGCTACCAATTTTCAGCTGCAGGTGAGTTAGCTGTGTGATCCCTCATAACCCATAAGCCCCGCCCAGAACTCACACAAATCGTAAGTGAGAAGAGTGGTCACTATGTTACCCAGTCTGTAACAAAGTAACAAAGAACGTCAACATGAACCTGTTACAGAAGCGTCGCTCGTTCTCCGAGTGGTGGCGACCCATGTGTTTGTTTTAACATGGCACTCGGTCTTCCTCGTCTGATACATTTAATTTTATTGTCACCCTTGTGCAAAATCAGCAACAAAATAAAAATTACAAACAAAATACAAACCACCACCACCAACAACAACAACAACAACAATGCGGCTACTTTTGATTGGGACCTCGGACGGGAATGGTTTGTTTTCTTCATCTTGATCAGTCCTGCCTAAGACGACCACCAGTCTTATACGGCCACTTTTCTCCTTGACAATGAGTGGCCGTCTTACACAGGTTTGACAGTATATTCATTTTTAGTGTGCAAGTGCAGTACCTAAAGCATTTGTATTTGAGACGAAACCAGGTGCCTTAATGACAGTGTACGTATTTTAAACCTCCTGTTTTCTAATGTTAATAGAGGCCTAAGATTTATAAGTACTTAATATTGATGGCTGAATTGTAAATGAAATTTTTAGTTTGCAATGCCAAAAGTATTTGTACTTCAGACAAAACCAAAAGGTGCCTTACTGACTTGCATGTATTTGAACCTGAATAATTACTAGATCTAGATCTAATGAGACCTGTGTACTTAACAGGTTTTAGTCGATTGGGCCAAACCTAGATCTAAGTACGACTAGACTGGCAGTCTACTCAGTCTAGCCGTACTTCAGTACGGCTAGCCACTTCGTTAGTGCAGAGGTACAAAGAACAATTTGAGTGCAAAACATTAGGAAATTGACTTATTATCCCATTTCGAACCCCAGGTCATTTCATAACAACAAGAGCATCTAGAAAGGTCATTCGAATGAGCCTAGAACTGCTCGTAATGTCTTAAATCAGCTTAATGAGAGGGGGTATTCATGGTGTTTGTAACACTTTATAAACAGAAAGCTATAGCCGCATCCACATTCGATTAACACACTCCCACGGTATTCATGGCGAAAACACACGTTTTCCAGCGCGCGCGCTGTACACCAACAGTATACTACGCACTGAGTGACCCCGGCAGCCTGCCCAGAACGTCCGACGTAATCGGTTGCTGTAAGATTCGCATCTGATCTCAGCACAGACGCAGGACAAGAGTTTAAATTGTCCCATTGGCCTAGAGGCCCAAGGCTGTCTATCGTGCACACAAAGTGCAGGAATCTTTTAACTATCTGATCATGATTCTAAACTTTAATGCCTTACTTGCTGCAAGCTCTGGTGCAACCAATGCTTTTCTCAGGCAGGACAGAGTGGCACTGAGAGAGACAAAACATGATCTCTGACGGTGACATTTCATGATCTGACAACAACAACAGCGGCTCGGCAACTTACTCTAAAGTTGGAAGTAGGTAGGATGTTTTCAATTCGTCTAAATATGGAACTAAATTCGCTGTCTTCTCCACAACAAACACAACATCGTAGACTTGATCCTCATCTTGGGACTGCTGGGCCTGAGAACTCGCCACCATCTTCCAGCTGTAGCCGTAACTGTGTCACTTGCGACGAAGTGGCAAACCTCTTGCTGAGATGGACGAGGGAGAACTGACTGGAAAAAAAGCCTACCAGATGTTTATGTGCCCTACATTGCTTCCACAGAACAACAATTACACAACAGGGAAATTGATTTCATGAAACACACGAACAGTAGAAATCTGTCTTTACACACAAGCTAAATCGACGATTGATATATATCTTAGCTTTGCTTTCTATTTTGGGCTATTACTGCCCTCGGTTTATACACATTCCAGATTTTTAGTAAACTCAGACTCCATTCAGCAATGGCCAAATTCAAAAACTGGATAGGCTAGGGGTTGCCAGATTAATAGGATGCTGTCGGGGCTACAATGTCGGCCAACTGCCTACCTATTGCGGCGGAAAAGTGGGTCGGAGGGAGTTGCACCTTTAACCCTATCCGTACGCCCTGCGGTCATTTCATACCCCGGGGTTGTATTTTTCACATTTTATAATACTTCTAGTACGAAGATCTCTTTGAAACTTTCAGCATTTCTCAAAAATCATTTTGACAGACTGCTATGCAAAGCGCACAGATCGGATTAACGAGTAAATTTTCTCTTTTTTGAAAATGGTGGCACAGATGAGTTCCCCACGTCGTATGGATACGATAGTAAAACACGACGTACGGAGGGTTAAAAAAAAAGCCGGATGCTTTATCACGAGCCAGTATCCCGTTATAAATTCAGTAGGCCTACATGTATAATTGGCGTGTCGCATGACGAGTGAAAAGCGAGGGTTATTTCACTGCGAAAAAAATCCGCTAATTTTCCAAAAATTATGAATTTCTAGGCCTCATTTCATCAGCGGGGCAACACTGGAAAAGTATTTTTTTAAAGTACGTTATCAAGTGACTGAAGCTTTATTTATTTATTTATTTATTTATTTATTTTTGCGTCTTTTTGACGTTGGGTAAAAAGGGAAATAGGACCACAGATCAAAATCTCCGAGAAAAAGATATTTTAAATCAGTGCTTTATTGTCCCAAATAAGCTATGCGTGTCGTATTTTGGCCAATTGCCAGAAAAAAGGATAACATAAAGAGCAATGGAAAGGAAGATATTATTACTAGGAAATAAAAATGCAAATAAAAAAAGGAGAGAAAACTGGAGTACAAGGAAGTAAAACTGTAATGCAGGCTGCTCTGTGGGCGGCAACGTCAGCGGAACAATGGTCAACCTGCGCTGCGCGCTGCCCGACTCTCGCACTCATGATAGGAAAAAGGGTTTTATTCTTAGGTCCTTGAGATTAGGAAAGTCAGTAGACTTATTTTACGTTTTAAAACCCATTTATCTCATGCCTATTACAAATGTCAAAATAAAGATGTCCTAGTGGCTGCATATTTTTTTTTTTTTAATATCCAGTAGGCCTACATGCTTAGCAACAACGGCGAATAACTTCTCTGTTAATTAAAGAAAGATGAAGGAAGGATGGGGTTTTGGAAGAGTTTGAGTCTCCTCAATAGTTCTGTACCCGGTTTAATCTATCATAGTAGTCTCCCCCTGAGACCCCATCGTTTACGATCCCGGTTCACTTAACTAATATTTCGTTGTTGTTGTTTTTTT